ATTTTGTTTTATTGCTTAAAGTATTACAAAGAGTATTACATATGTCTCCTTTTTTTTCCCCCTTGACCTTCCCCCCGGCCTCCCCTACCCCCCAGTGTCTTGTGTCCAATGAGCAATGTATATTTAAAAAGCTATTTGTTCTTGCCCTAACCGGTTTGGCTCAGTGGATAGACTGTCGGCCTGCAGACTGAAGGGTCCCAAGTTTGATTTTGGTCAAGGGCAAGTACCTTGGTTGTGGGCTTGATCCCCAGTAGGGGGCATGTAGGAGGCAGCTGATCAATGTTTCTAACTCTCTATTCCTCTCCTTCCCTTTCTGTAAAATTAATAAAAAAACATTTTAAAAAATCCTATTCTTTATATAATTGCTTTTGTACCTTTGTAAAAACAAAAAAGTCAATTGGGGGTATTTGTATGGGTCTACTATCGTGTCCTCCATCCTGTTTCATAGATCTGTGTATTTATCCTTCTGCCAATACCCTAGCACTTTGACTGCTATAGCCTTTTAGTAAATCTTGGGTAAAGTCTTAAGTAAAATGGGAAAGCTGATTCCTCCCACTTCTTTTTCAAAATTTGTTTTAGCTATTCTAGTTCCTTTGCCTTCCCATATAACTTTTAGAATAATTTTGTCTGTATCTACAAAAATCTTTCCAGGATTTTCCCCTCACTAATTTCATTTTTTTGGTATCACAATCATGTTTTATTTTGAGAAATGTCTTGATTTTGATGTTTGACAGAAATTTTGTGTTTTTTATTTTTTGTTAATCCTCAGCGAAGGATTCTTTTTCTTCTTCTTCTTTAGAGAGAGAGAGAGAGAGAGAGAGAGAGAGAGAGAGGCGGGGAGAGAAAGAGAAAGACCAATGTGAGAGAGACACATCGATTAGTTGTCTCCTGTATGTACCCCGGCTGGGGCGGGGATTGAACCTATAACCTTGGCACATTGAGACAATGTATTTTCTTTATTCTTGAAGGATATTTTTACTGGATATAGGAATCTGGAATGACAGTCTTTTCTTTCAGCACTTAAAAAATGTTTGTGCCACTTCTTCTGGTTTCCATGGTTTCTAACAAAAAAATTGCTGTCATTCAGTATGTGTCATTTTTCACTGTTTTCAAGATTTTTTTTCCTTCGTTTTTAGCTTTTAGCAGTTTGACAATGATGTGCCTTGGCATGAATATTTTTGCATTTATCCTCTTTGGGGTTTGCTCATGTTCTTCAGTCTGTAGGTTTATCCCTCTGCCAAATTTGGGGGAGTTTTCAGCCTTATATTTTTATTAACAGCTTTATTGAAATACAATCCACATACTATAAAATCCACCTGAGTTTTGTCAAGTTGCATTCATTTGATCGCCTATAGGCTTGGGTTTAATTCTACCACTTAACGCTCTATCTTCCATTCACCTCACTTAGTTCTTGGTTTTATTGTCTCTCCTGCCTTCCAGGTTGACATCATCCCACCTCATTCCATGTTTTCCTTCCTCTTAGTTTAGTATACACTCTTTCTATCTTTTAGTGGTTACCTTAGATTTCTTAATGTGCATGTTAACTTAAATTCTAACTTTTACCCTTCTTACAAATAACCTTAGAATAATTCCAGTGCAGTCATGCCTGAAGTTGCCCCCTTCTCCCAGTGACCGGAGCCCTCAATTCCATCTTCAGTTTGGGAGTTGGACTGACATGGGCAGTCACCAAGGCCATTCCCTTCCTGCTCCTTGAACATGAAGGGGGAGCAGGGGCCAGTGAAGTGCCCCCTCGAGTTCCCATGCCCTCCACACGGCTCCCTCGTCCCTCACCCTGCAACCTTTTGGGGGCTTTCTGGCCTCACAAAAGGAAGCTGGAGCCAGGATCTGGTTCACCCCTTCCCTAGGTCTGAGGATCCGGACCTCTATTCTCAACAACGTTCTCTTTTTCGCACATGACCTGCGCCCCGTGTGCACTTTACACGGAGGAGCCTGAGTCTACACAGACTGGGGACTGTCCAGCATCATAGGATTGGAGATTCTCTTGAGCCTCCACTGTCAGTGCAGCCACAAGTGGGAAAGGATACCCAGTGGCCGGCCTCACAGCAGGCCAGGCCCTGGGCAGGATCCAGCCCTTCCTGCCGGCCTTTTCCAGGTGCCACTCGGACTTGGCCATCGTCTTCTTAGGCAGGTTCTGGTGCCGCTGGTCTTGCTGCTGCTGCATCTTCACCACACGGGCTGTGTGCTTTTCCTGCGGCAGGATAGTAAGAAGCTAGGAAAATTCCTGGGCAAGTGGAATAGGGAAACTGAGGCAAGAAAATTAAACAAGGCGAGGCAATTTAAAAAACGTACAGCCAGCTTGTGAATCGCAAGACCTTATCTTCCCCAACCAAGGGCACTTGAAAGCAAATAGTTTATACCTCTCCTCCCTAACCAGAGAACACAGCTTAAATCACCCTGGTCTGGGAAATAGAGAACAAAGACCCAATTAGTGCCGTTGGTGCTAAACCCAAGGACAGATGAAGTGGGGAAACAAATTAAAAAACCAAACGAAAATCCACTAGAGCCAGACAGACCCAAGATAAAAAGTAAAACAGTAAAGCAGACCAAAGAATAATTGGAAACTCCCCTGTGCACTTGTTTTGATGCATCAGCATATTACAAATGCACCTGGAAAGCTGATGAATAGTTTGCTGAAAACTTCCCTTAAGATGCTCATTCACAGAAAAAAGAAAAAGAAAAAAAAAAGATAAAAAGCCCTCAGGACAAAGATCCAAGGTGGCCGAAATCGGTTTGGCTCAGTGGATAGAGCGTCGGCCTGCGGACTGAAGGATCCCAAGTTCGATTCTGGTCAAGGGCATGTACCTGGGTTGCGGGCACATCCCCAGTGGGAGATGTGCAGGAGGCAGCTGATCGATGTTTCTCTCTCATCGATGTTTCTAACTCTCTATCTCTCTCCCTTCCTCTCTGTAAAAAATCAATAAAATATATTAAAAAAAAAAAAGACCCAAGGTGGGCATGCTCTGGCCGCTTCCTGGGCATGAAATACTTATTTCTTCCTAAACTCTCAGCGTCCCACAAGACTTGCACCCAGGGAAGCCGTGGGCAGCAGCAGCTACCCCCCTGATCCTGTCTCAAGGCCCCTTTCTCTCTGCCTCCCCAGTGAGCTAAAAGCCCTTCCTCGGTGGACTTCGTCCCTGTAAGGTTTCTAGCAGAGATCACCTAGGCTCCCCTGTTGCTGCTGCTCCCCTTAGTCCTCCTTGTGTCACTGTCCCCAGCTTTAATGAACACACTCTCAAGACCACCTGGACTCCCGCTGTGCCATCTTTCCACATGGAGTCAAGAACCCACACAGGAGGCCGGCCTGAGGAGACCCCTCCAGACCTGTCCTGTGTGTGTGTGTGTGGGGGGGTCCCCTGCGCCACCACTTCTTGCCCTTCGGGGCCTCCTGCAGCAGGTGCTCCTTGTGTGGTCAGTCCTCGTAGATCCTCACACCCTGGCCTTGCACGGCACCTGCTTCCCCTGAGTCTTGTTCTCAGCTCTCGGGCTTCCCTGCCTCCTGCTTCCAGCTCCTCCAGCTCCTCCAGCCAGCTTTGCAGGCCTGCAGCGCCCCAGCAGCTGCTGGTGGCTCTTCCCCATCCCTGGAGTCAAGTTCCCTTCAGTTTCTGTAGCTGCAACTTCCTGCGTGGGGCCTTGCCGTCCAGGTACTCCCCGCTCACCTCCACCTTCCTGAAGGGCGGCTCCGGCTGTCCCGCCTTCTCCCCGGGCGCCTCAACGGTGGCTGGGCCTCTGTGGCTTCTCCTTCGGCTTCTGCGGCTTCTGCGGCTTTCTCCTTCGCTCTCAGCTCCTTTCCTTCCTCTTCCCGTCCCCGCTCCTGCTCCTGCAGCCCTCTTTTCTCCAATGTGGAAGCAGACAGCTTTTCAGTGCTACCCTGCCTCCAGTTCTCCTGTATCTTCTCATGCATCCGTTCCTGCACAGCATCCAGGGCCAGGCAAGGAATTTGCCAGCCAAGTTCAGCTTCTGCGGCTCTGGGCTGGGCTGGGAGCAGATTTTTCTGGCGAGGCCCTGCAGGTGGACCTTCGGAGAGCAGAGAAGCCATGGCCGGAGGCTCCGGGGCCTGGTGGGCTCACTCGGCTTCCTGCTCAGGGGAAGGAGGGCTGGGCCACAGCGTCAGAGGCCCATGGCAGGCTCCATCCCCGGCCCTGGTCCAGGAGGCAAGCAATCAATGTGTCTCCCACACCCCTGTTTTTCTCTTTCTCTCTGTCTCTACCCATCCCTACCACTCTATTGAAAAATCAATGGAAAAATATCCTTGGGTGAGGATTAACGAAAAAATAAATAAAAACAACAAAAAAGTAAAATGATAGACTTATACTTCTTCTACATAGGTGGGCACAGGATAGTTAATAGTCAACAATTAATATGATAACAATAACAAAGAGAGGATTTATGCCTCCGCCCTGGTGCAGTGGTTGTGCCCTGAGGGGTCTGGAAAAAGCGGAGTTACCCTGACATGCCACAGGCATGTTACCGTAGATGCAAAAGACAGGCCTAGTCAAGATACAGAATGACTTTTGTCAGGGAAGATGCTCGCCTAAGACATGATTACCTGCCGTAAACCGCTTTGGCTAGAAAGTTGTAATTTCAGACCATCCTTTGTGATTACTGTAGGTCTCGGAGCTCTCAAGGCCACTGCACAGGCCTCCCCGGAGCTCGTCAGGTTGGCATGTGGCCCCGTTTAGTTCACATTTGCTTTCTTTTCTCTCTCCTTTCAAGTTAATTTGCATACATCCATGGATTTGGTTTTTAAATTTCCTTCAGTCCCTAGACTACATGCCTACATGTACCCCAATTTTCTTTTCTTTCCCCTCACTCCCTCTCTTTATTATTCTTCTTTAAAAAATGTAAAGCTCCAAAGCCCTTCTCTTAGTCTCCCACCCGTGCGTTATGCTCAGATCCTGGTGACCTCCAAGCAGCCATTGGATGAGTGACTCGTCGGTAATATTCTCTTTGGCCAACAGAGTTGGTCTGTGGATGTCCATCATTTTACTTTTTATCCAATCCCAGCGGTTTCCCCACGTTGCTTTCTCCGCCTCCCTAATCTAGCGCCAATGAATTTCCCGGAACCGCTTGCGCCTTCTCTTTTGATTGTAATATACACTGAGTGGCCAGATTATTATGACCACCCCATCAGTGCAATGAAGTGAATTAGTTATGCAAATTAATAATAATAAAATCTTGAGAGTATTTGCTTAGGAAGTTTTCAATATTCAGTATTTTTGGAAGTGTCAATGAAGTAGTGATGGGGTCATCATAATAACCTGGCCACTCAGTGTATAAAATAAGCTTCCAAAGTGCCCTTCTCGGAGCATTCTCTCAGTCCGTTGAGATTCTGCTACCCGGCAATTGTCGACAGTTTGGCTCAAATGCATTCTTTACAGGTCTGGATGTTTCTTCCGTTGACGGGTCTCAGTTCACAGTAGTTGGAAGAGCTGCTGAAGGACCTGGGTCTCCCAGCGTCCCCTGCGCGGGGACCTTTCTACACCCCCAGGTAAAGGTCCGGTCAATGGGCAAAGCCCCAGCTGGAGACCTTCACTTTCCTGCTGATTACAATTCAGGGCATCACTGGAACTATGGGAAGCTGAGATCTGCCTTTCTTAGTCTCTCTCCGCTGAACTTTTTTTTTAAAATTAATAATTCTTTATTGTTGAAAGTATTACATATGTCCCCTTCCTCTCCCCCCGCCCCGCCCCATTGGCCTCTTCCTGCCCGCCCGCGCCCCCGGCCCTCCCCGCCCCATTGTGTCCATGGATTGTCTCTGCTCTGGGGACTGTGACGGTGTGTACTGCAGCCTCCTTCAGCTCCGGGAGCCAGGCTTGGCAGTTCTCTCACGGGTTTTCTATTTCAAAAGAGAAATAATAAGTAATTTCGTCGTCGGGAAAGGCCAATATTGAAAAACGTCTGAAATATCTAACTAGTTGACACAATGGATACAATTTTGAACTATAGATTGATTACCGGGAGCTAACACCGCAGTCCCTGGTGGTCTAGTGGTTAGGATTCGGCGCTCTCACCGCCGCGGCCCGGGTTCGATTCCCGGTCAGGGAACTTGCTCTTTTATTCCTGCTACTTTTATAGAATCCTTTTTAATGATTGACATTGTTTCTTCCAGTCACTTCTTCCATCCACCCAAAGCTGAAAGTTTCATAATTATAATGAAAATATTTTATGCAAATGCAAGTATATGCATGTACATACATACATACATACACACATATTTAAATATGTTCCCCTTCTTGCATAAATGACAGCAATCTATTCACGCCTTTCTGCACGTTTCCTTTTCACTTAACAGTTTATTTTGGAAATAGTTCCAGATTAGACATGAAGAACCTCCTCATCCCATGGCACATAGGATCCCATTTGATTGATATTCCACCATTAATTGAACAAACTTCCTATTGTTGGACACTTACTATTTTTAAACCTTTATTATTGCAAACAATACTGCCATAAATAATCTTGGACATGTCATTTTACACGGGTGTGGAATAAATGTCCAGGAGTTCAAATGCTGCAATTTACGCTTTCACCAGCAACACACAATGTAAATATAATTAAAAAACAAAACATAAAATAACAATTCATGTGTTTTCATCAGTCAAACTTTTAGTCCTCCCTCTCATTTTTTAATTTTTATTTTTGGGTATTACAAGTAACATCTGTATAGATATATCTTTGTGTATATCCTTAGATATTTACTTAGGATAAATTCATAGAAGTATCACCTTATACCATCTATTAAATGGATTAAATAATTAAATGCAAGAACTGAAACAATTAAGAGCTAGGAAAAGTATATTAGTGGGTAATTATCTTAATATTGAATTAGACAAATAGTAAAGGATAAAACTGACATATTACACTACATAAAAAAGAAAACTTCTGCCCATCAGAAAGTCCTATAAATAATTAAAAGACAACCGATAAACTGGCATAAGTAAGTAATATATAATATAAACACACAATAGAAAAAATAGACAAAGCATATAACTTTGCAAGTCTAAAAATGAACAGATAACTGTTATTTATGGAAAATGATCAACCTCAGTAGTAATAGATTAAACGCAAATTACAATGAGACTCCATATGTTTACCCTGCGCTTTCTAAAGATGAAAAGAATGACGACATCCAGTTGACCGATGTATTCACTGAATACTGAATATTTAACATGTACATATGTTTTTAATTGCAATTTTACCTTTATGCATTTGCCTTAAGGAAACACTCTCAAATGTGCAACCATATGTATACAGAGATAACTCCCAATAAAGTGCCTTAACTCTAGATGAACTAAAAGTGGCTTTCCTTAAACACGTGAAATAATAAAAAATACTACTAGAATTTTCAATATCATCATAGGAGAAATTCTAGAGAGCTTTTCTTCTTTCTCCTTAATATAAATCTCAAAATAGCAGGGAAATGGTGGGAACCGAAGCTTGGCATGGGACTCTTCATAGGAAAGTAGATTCAGAACCACGCTGCTTTCAGGTTGCGTTGGTGGTATAGTGGTGAGCATAGCTGCCTTCCAAGCAGTTGACCCGGGTTCGATTCCCGGCCAACGCATTCGGTTTTCTTTTCTCAGATACACAATTTACTTTTTTATTTCTGTTTATTTGCGGAAGGGGTGTGCTGGGTGGTGGAGGCTTAGGGAAAATTCTGAAATAGAGACTGGTCAGATTTGTTTTTCCCGATTCTCCGAGGTGGTCTGATTTACTGAGGGGTGAGAATAAGGAAGTCAGCTCAAGCGCCGGCGTTGGGGATGGAGAGCGCGCCCAGTTACTTGCAGCGGTTCGGGAGCCACGAAAAGTGAAGGGCTGGGTAGCCCTCCCGCCTCCCGCAGTCACCAGCTCGCTTCTCTGCGGTCCCACCATTCCGGGACAGCAACCTCGATTCCAGTTTCTAAGCTGGATATGTAAATGGGAAAATCCTTCGGGCCGCCCTCGCACCTTTGGGGAAAGAGAGCATGACCGGAGGAGGGGCGACTGGGAACGCCACTCAGAGCTCAAGTCGGGACCGGGGCGCGCCGCCCAGCAGAGGGGGTGATGCTGTGCAGACAGCGCGGGATTCGGGGGCTCAAAATCACATTCAGATGGACGGCTTGGAGGTTACGGAGTGGAAGGATTTGCTTGGGATTCTGACTTAGGCGCGTTACCGGGACGAGGCAAATAGAACAAGCAGCAGAGGTGGTTTCCGATCTCAAAAGACGCCGGGCTGCTCCGCAGGGGGCAGGCCTGAGCGGTGGATGGTACTCGGCGCTGCGGCTGCAGCGACCTCTGCTGGAATCCGAGGAGGCCGGTCATCGTAGTTGGCCTTGGCGTCTGAACTTCCTTAGCCTTTTAAAAGTTAAACGAGTTTATAATCTGCTCGCGGCGGTGTCGCAGAGCTGCAGCCTATGACGGTGAATGATTGTCTCCCACTCAACTCACTCCGCTGCCCCCCTCTACCCCACCCCCACCAGGTGAACCCCACCAGCCTGGCGAGTAGCCTCAGGCCGGGTGCAGAGCTCTGGACTGTGACGCAGGCGCAGAGGGAGGCTCCCTTCGCCGGGGAATCGGGAGCTCAACTCCCCTTCCAGGGTTTGGAGAGGAGTGAAACCTCCTGACGGCCCCGATCCCCGTCCGCGTAATCTCGGGGAGAGCTATGCACGCAAGGAGTGTGGTCTTTTACTCAGGACACACAAGATTTTAGTATTAAAACCAAACTCGTGCCCTAGATGAGCAGCGAATTGGACCTATTTCCCCAGTGATGCGCGAAGCCCCCACTCGGCCTCCCGGTTGTCAAGTTAGGGGAGAAGGCAGCAGGGGCGGCAGCCCCAAGGTCCGGAGCACCAGTCCCCGCGCCGCTCCGACCCCTGCGGCTTGTCGGCGCTTCTCAGCCTCAGAAGTCGGTCCCAAAAGCCGGATTCTCAAAGTGACTCGGTCCAAAGGGAATTTGCAGAAACATTGAGGTTTCAGGACCCGTGATTCCTTCCTCGGCAAGCTCACCTGGTCCTGCGCAGCCCCCCGTCATTCTCTCGAAGCTTCGGGTTCCTCGGC